AGGCCCCTTCCTCACATGAGGTTGTTGACATCCCTTCGCCTTCCAGCACTTCTAGCATCTGAGGGTAGATCCTCCCACAGGAGTACAGAGCAACAGGGCACATTTTGGAAGCAGAGACCAGGGACTTTCTGGCTTCCAGAAACACAAGAGATTTCCATTGTCCACCCAAATCTGTGGTATGTTGTTACAGTAGGACAAACAGTCTAAGACAGATGCCATTTACACTACTGTTTTCTGAGCTCTGTTCCGTGAATGGCCAAAGCAATTCAAAGCTAGGATGTAACTCAAAAAACAGGGTGCTTTAAACAATCTGTTTTTTTTGTTTTTGAGTTGGTGTCTCATTCTGTTGCCCAGACTGGAGTGCAGTGACCGCTCCTGGCCACCGCAGCCTCAACCTGCTGGGCTCCAGCGATCCTTCCGCCTCAGCCTTCCAAGTAGCTGGAACTACAGGCACGCGCTACCACACCCGGCAATTTTTTTGATTTATTGTACAGATGAGGTCTCACCAAGTTGCCCAGGCGGGTCTCGAACGCGCAGGCTCAGGCAATTCACTCACCTCAGGCTCCCAAAGCGCAGGATTACAGGCTAAGCCACCGAGCCCGGCTAAACAACCTATTTTTAAGTAGTAGGCCTCAAAGGCAAGCTCTGAGTCCTCAAAATCCAGCTGTTCAATTTATAATACAAGTGAGTAATTAGCTTTCTCTGGGCTTAGCTATAATGCAGTAGATAACTTCCACCTACTTTTTGAATTGTTTTCCATGGTGATTTTAGAAAGATCATCGTCAAACAGTTTAAATATTTCTTAAGTAATATGTGGCCTTTTTCTAACCAGCATATATTTATTGTACATTAAGCAATCATACATCTTTCAGGTAGAAAAACACTACATCTGAATGGTAAAGACATTATACAATGAATTAGGACACAACTAAAATTTAGCTCATTTTCTAGAGAAGGGGACACCACACTGCCATTCAATGAAGACAAGCATTTTTATGATCCAGAGATCTTTTATTTTTGACACCCATTAAGCCATAAATTCATAGGGAATAGGTTCCAGAAGCTCGGGCTCCTTTCCGTTGGTTCTCACAAAGTGTGCTTCTCTTGGTGGAGCAGGCTATTAAAGGAAAACAGGGAATAAAGTGATTATGTCAAACATTAAAACTCAACTTTAAAGTACTCTCAGAATCAGTGAAACAATGTATTCTCAATTCTTAAACTTCATATAAAGGGACAGATCAAAGACGATCATGTTCCCCAAGACCAATGCCAAAACTGTCAGGTCAAGCTCTTACCTGGCGCTTCAGCTGAACCCACGTGCCTTTCTCCTTGGCTTCCTTCTTTTTCTGGTCATTTTCCTTCACACGTTTCAGGAAGCTATCTCGACTCTTCGAGTGCTTAATATGTTCAATACGCACATTAATTCTTTTGGCAAGAATCTTGCCCCTGGAGAGAGCAGAAATTCTTGTAAGTGCTTTATCAAAAACAGTAATGCAGAAAACTGTTTTGGCAGTTTCATTTATAAAATACATCATGAGCCTTTTGCCCAGATAGGAGAAACCAGAAAGCTGATGGCTTGATTAATCTACAATCAATTGTTGATTTTACTGGAAGAGACCTCGAAGAGAACCCTACTTTTACACTCTCTTCTGAGATGATAGAATTTAAAACACAAGAAATTTAATCAAAGCCAGATGGCTAATAATATTTAAGGCATACTAAACTTATCTTTATGAATACTAGTCCATTTTAATTTGTTTCCTCTGACAGGAGACAAGACAAACACCCAGTTTGCCTGAGTTTTAAAAGGATATTTCCTTTGCCCCACTTGAATGACCAATAAAGACATAAGTCTAATTGGCAAAGTGAAAGGGGGTCTGAGGAATACCAATTAGCCACAAAGAACTGCGTTACTTACTTGACTTGTTTGTTAACAACAATGCCAACAGCATGCTGGGTGACATTATAGACTCTTCCTGTCTTGCCATGGTAACATTTGTGGGGCATTCCTTTCTGAACAGTACCCATTCCCTGTTAAGAAAGGAGACAAGTGTTAGATCAGCACTTCCACCTCCCTTTCAAGTTGATTTTTATTTAAAAAAAACAAAGATATTCTAGGACTTATTTTAGATGGCAACTCAAGAGCTTTCAGAGCCGGTGAAATGTGTTTTTCACATTGCTTCAAGCAATCAAAAAGACAATCATCATTAAGCTCTAGAGTGACAGGATACATTAAACACTAGACATGAAATATAGCCTTCATTGAGGGATTCTTATAAAAATTGTAATCTCTATTAATAATTACATTTTGCATTAAGGTATTCCATTTAACCCTGACAAACTCATGATTTCTTCCCTTAATTTTCCAATAGCTGTTAAGTCCAAGCAAGTAATGAGGAAAATTTAGACTCAATATAAAAGAATAACACCTGAAAACATCCATTCTATATTCTCACGATGCAGCATAACACTAGTATTTTAATTCCTATGCTAGATTAACTTTTCTTGTATTATTTCCCCAATTCCTTAACTTACCTTGATGTCTACAATATCACCTTTTTTATAGATTCGCATGTATGTGGCCAAAGGAACAACTCCTACAAAAAAAAAAAAATGGCATGGTCAGTATCAACAAAAAATGCCTAGAGTATAAGATATGTAATTTTACTAACTTTCAACTATCACCTTTGACAGTTACACACATTTAAGAACCTTATTACTAGCCAGGTGTGGTAGGCTCACACCTGTAATCCCAGCAATAGGGTGGCAGAGGCAAGAGGATTGCCTGACCCCACGGGTTCGAGACCAGCCTGGGCAACATCATCTCTACAATAAATCAAAAGATTAGCCGGGCATGGTGGTGCATGCCTGTAGTTCCAGCTACTTGGAAGGCTGAGGTGGAAGGATCGCCTGAGCCCAGCAGGCCGAGGCTGCAGTGGCTGTGAGCATATCACTGCACTCCAGCCTGGGTAGCAGAGTGGAGATTCCATTGAGATTCCAACTAAAAAAAATAAATCACCTCTCTCCAAAGTTTAACCCTGCATCAATATTTAGTTAACACACACATGTATCAAGACACAAATGCTTTCTCTCAGAGGGTAAACCTACTCACCATGTTTTCTGAACGGCCTGGAGAACATGTACCGCGTGCCCCTCCTCTTTCCCTTTGTGTTCGTCATTTTGGTGAATTACTGAAACCACAAAGTGTTACAGTCAAATACAACTGAAAAGTGGTATTTAACCAAAAAATCTGTAATTTCTCTTTTTTAACACATATTTTCATTTTAAAGACGCAGTGCACGATTCAAGATTAGGCATAAAAGCGGACATCGTACAGGTAGAAAGTCTGGGCCTCCTTCTGGTCCCCACTTTGTCTGGTTTGAGATCAAGTACCCTTATTGATACTGTGTCCCCACCGCCACCACAGTAGTATCTCACTACTGCCAAAAACCTGTAATTTCGAACACTTGCATTTCAGTAGCAATATGAGATTTAGGGAACAACCTAACAAGCTGGATCAGCAATCAACTACTTCTCTTAAAATGTAAAAAACTAGCCGGGCTTGGTGGCTCAGCCTGTAATCCCGCGCCTTTGGGAGGCTGAGGTGAGTGGATTGCCTGAGTCTGCAGGTTCGAGACCTGCCTGGGCAGCAAGACCTCATCTCTGCAATAAAAAAAAAAAATCAGCCGAGCGTGGTAGCGCATGCCTGTAGTTCCAGCTACTTGGAAGGCTGAGGCGGAAGATCGCCGGAGCCCAGCAGGTTGAGGCTGCGGTGGCCGGGAGCGGCCACTGCACTCCAGTCTGGGCGACAGAGACTCCAACTCAAAAAAAAAAAAAAAAGCAAAAAGCTACTGTTTTATCAAGTAAGGTCTTTGCCCAAACTGCCAAAGTTCTTCTATAACATCAAAACAGCCCTAAGTAGAACTGGGTATGAGATTAAACCAGTGCAATTTCCCTACTAGAATATAAAAACACAAGTTCTAACAAGTGGTTATCTGTGGAATCCAGACTAGAAAGGGCACTGGACTTACTAGCCAGAGGATAATTCACTGGAGAACACAATAAAACTCAGCCTTACATTCTTATACAGTGGATTAAATCGCTTTTCTTACCAACCACACTTTCTGTAACGAGAACATTTCATACAGCATCTATTTAACTGTCAAAAAATTCCTCAGTTCACTTCACATTTCTTATAATTTGACAAGAAATGTGGGTAGGGTAGAAGGTGGGGGGACCCAGGATGTATAATCATTGGCCTACATTTGACACGAGCTCCACCACTTGCTGGGAGACTCCCATTTTAGCTCTCATCTTCATCGGTAAAACGGGGTCAACATTTTTATAGCTGAGGTAATGTCTAAGGAGAACTCAGCAGTTCTTGGCACATATAAAGTGCTCCACAGCACTTTAACTGGTAGCTAATTTATCATTATCTAAGAATCTACTTGAAGGCCTTTAGGCCGTTTCCCAAAAGGCGGAAGCAATGGTTTTAACAGCTCTCTGGTCACTGGCCATTCCTAGCAATCACTCCTATCATAAAGCAAAATGGGCCGGGCATGGTAGCTCATGCCTGTAATCCCAGCACTTTGGGAGGTTGAGGCAAGACTGCCTGAGCCCACAGGTTCAAGCCTTCAACTCTACAATAAATCAAAAAACTAACCAGGCAAGGTGGTTCCTGTCTGTAGTTCCAGTTACTTGAAAGCCTGAGTCCAGCAAGTTGAGGTTGCGGTGGCCAGGAGTGTGCCACTGCCCTCCAACCTGGGCAACAGAATGAGACTCCATCTCAAAAAATAAAAATAAAATAAACACAATGTACCAGACTCAGCTCATTGACAGAACTCCAACATAAATCTTTCTCTCAATTTATTAATGCTCCTTAAAGAATGAGGCACCTTAAGCCGGGCTCAGTGGCTCAGCCTGTAATCCCGCGCCGTTGGGAGGCTGAGGTGAGTGGATTGCCTGAGCCCATAGGTTCGAGACCTGCCTGGGCAGCAAGACCTCATCTCTACAATAAATCAAAAAATCAGCCGGGCGTGGTAGCGCATGCCTGTAATTCCGGCTACTCGGAAGGCTGAGGCAGAAGGATCGCCGGAGCCCAGCAGGTGGAGGCTGCGGTGGCTGGGAGCGGCCACTGCACTCCAATCTGGGTGACAGAGTGAGACTCCAACTCAAAAAAAAAACAAAAAGCAAAACAAGAATGAGGCACCTTTTTCATAAAAACTGTGGCAAAGAGTGATGTCTCAAGCCCACCAAAGCCAAACCATTGTTATAATGGACGCATCTTTTACTCTTAAAAAAAAAAAAAAGGAAACTGTGAGCCTATTAAGTGCCAGACGCCCGACTATAATCCTCCAAGTCTCTACAGATGTGTAAAGTTCAAGAACTTAGGTTACGTCCATAAGCAAGGAATGATGCCCTGCAGACTCAAGTCGTTTCATGGGATCACAAAGTGTCAGAATCCGTCCTTTCTGATCCCAGAGTCCATGCTCCTCCACTCAACCCGTTTCCCTAGAAACCCACTTTCCATGTAGACCCCACGCATATAAAACAGAATGCGGTTCCTGTGCCAAGCAATGATCCAGCGTCTACAACGGTGTCCCAAATTATGCCCATCGTCCTCTCCTGGGGGATGCAACCTGCAGTATGTTCCGACTCTCCCAGCTGGGTTGCTCATATCCACAAGCAAGACAGAATGATGAGCAACTGAGACAGCTGCCCGAAAGCAACTTTCATCCTAAACTTCTAAACCAGACACCAACCCCCCCCCCCCTGGCCTGTGCTGCCCTCGTCTTGATGCCAACACCGGTGTTGCAACCTTTAAACACTTCCCGTGTGTCCAAATGCCATCTGGGGCCACGATTTTTAAAACAACCAGAGGCCGGACAGAGGGGCTCACGCCTGTAATCCCAGGACTTTGGGAGGCCGAGAGAAGAGGATTCCCTGAGCTCAGGGGTTCGAGACCAGCCTGGACAATTTGGTGAGACCCCCGTCTCTACAATAAAACAAAAAATTAGCTGGGCATCGTGGCGCTTGCCTGTAGTTCCAGCTACTTGTAAGGCTGAAGCAGAAGAATCGCCTGAGCCTAGCAGGTCGAGGATGCAGTGGACGAGAGCGCGCCACTGCTCTCCGGCCTGGGCGACAAAGTGAGACTCCGACGTAAAATAAATAAAACAACTAGAAGTCACCTCCTGCCTCCACTAAGAGCAGCCAGGGGGCCATCACCGGTGGGCGCTGGCACCCACCCCGTTTCCGACCGCAGGCCCAGGCTTCCCCACGTATCTAGGCCCCACGGGACGCGGCTCAGAGACCCCTAAGCCCCTCCCCGACCACATCCCAAGTCTAGGCGTTAAAAAAAAGCTACACGGGAAGGAGTTCCGAAGCCATCAGACCACGCGGCCCCACACGGCCTATCCGAGAGCCACCCACACACGGCACCAGAGCTGAAGCTAGGAAACGAAGCCCTTCCTAGAGTAGCTCGAGTCGTCACACCCCGGGGACCCGGCCCCGTCTTTCTCGAGACCGTCCCCCCGCAGGGCCGCGACCTCGCAGTCCGGTCCGCAGCCCCAGGCCCCGACCCGGCACACGCTGGCCCGCGTCTGGCGAGACAAGGCCTCACTCGCCTACGCCAGGTAGGGGCCCAACTGGCTAGACGGCCGCCCTGAGGTCCCCAGCCCTGACCTCAGCAGTCGCTGAGCCGCGGGGCCACGTCCACGGAGCGCCGGACGCGCGGAGCCACGCGCGCAGGCCCTACCTGGAAGATGGCGGTTCCGGCCGAAAGGAAGGGGGCGGGGCCGCGACGCGCGCCTTACAAGGGCCTGCGGGCTGCCCGCAGCGCTGCCGGAAGGAAATGCCGGCCGAGAGCCATGCTTTTCCGGGAAGGAAAGTCGTCCCTGAGAACAAGAAGAGCCTGTGAGGATATTTTCCTTTCTTGCAAAAAAAAAAAAAAAAAAAAAGGGCAAGCGGCTAACACGAGCCGACACTGGGACCGGGTCAGACAGCCCGGAAAGGGGCCTTCAAGGACGACAACCAGGACACAGACGCCCCGAGCGTGCGCACGTCCTCCCCTGCGTCACGGCTGACGCCGGAAGCGGGCCTGAGTCTTCCGGCGGAAGCCGGCGGCTGGTCCTGTGACGTGGAAGCCTTCCGGAGCGCTCGTGACAGCCGCTCGTTTGCAAGGATGACTCCGTGGGCACCCGAGGCCGACTGTAGCCCCTTGCCTCGCTGGCAGGTCTTTAGAGAGGCTTTTTGTCTTGAATTCCCTGCAGGTCTAACGCTACACACCTTGCATCTTGTTTGTGGGTTATTAACAACCCCACTGAAGCCGACGCGGGTTTGAAACCCTTTGGCTTCCCGCAGGTGTGAAAACCACTTTGGAAAGCAGTTTGGCAAAATCTGGTAAAGCCAGAGGTTCACGTCTTGATCCCCGGCGTCCCGCCCCTAAAGCGTGTCCTGTAGGAACGTGGACATGGGGACCGGGGGTAGGTGACAGCCCTGCGATGGAGCCTCCCTCGTGAGACACGCCCATCGCGCGAGTTCTTCGCTGGTCGTTAGGAGGATGGATGATACACGCTATTAAGACAAGACTCGGCGCGGTGTGATGGGGCCAGAGGAGGAAGACGGAGAAAAACAAAGAAGAGACGATCGGATGCCTACCTATTTTTTTTGTTTTGTTTTGTTTTTTGAGTTGGAGTCTCAGTGTGTCACCCTGGCATGCTCACGGCCTCCACCTGCTGGGCTCCGACGATCCTTCCGCCTCAGCCTTCCAAGTAGCTGAAACTGCAGGCGCGTGCCACCACGCCTGGCTAATTTTTTGATTTACTGTAGAGATGAGGTCCAGTCGCCCAGGCTGGTCTCGAACCCCTGGACTCAGGCAGTTCTCTTGCCTCTGCCTCCCAAAGTGCCGAGATTGCAGGCATGAGTCACCATGCCCAGTTGTTTTGTTTTGTTTTGCTTTGTTTTCTGAGTTGGAGTCTCACTGCCGCCCGGGCTGGAGTGCAGTGGCACACTCACGGCCACTGCAGCGTCGACCTGCTGGGCGCAGGCGATCCTACCGCCTCAGCCTTCCGAGTAACTGGAACTACAGGCGTGTGCACCACGTCCGGCTAATTTTTGGATTTATTGTAGACACGAGGTTTCTCCAAGTAGCCCAGGCTGGTCTTGAACCCCCCGGACTCAGGCAATCCTCTTGCCTCAGCCTCTGAAAGTGTGGGATTACAGGCTTGAGCCAATGTGCCTGGCTTAAAATATGTAATTTTTAATTTAATAGGCTTTTTAAAAAGATTTCAGTCACCTATTTTTTTAAAAGTCTATTTTTAAAGATTGTTTTAGATTAACTTTAAAAATTGAGAAAATGTTCCAGAGAATTCCCATGTTTCCAGCATTCAGTGTCCCCACACTAGTATGGTACATTTGTTGCAGTTAATGAACCAACGTTGTATGTTATTAGTAATCGAAGTCTTTATTTTATTCAGTTTTCTTTGGATTTTTACCCAGTCTCCTTCTTTTGGCCCAGGAGCCCACCCAGGATATCACATGACATTTCCTTAGCAAGTCTTTTTATGTACCTCTTGCATGTGGCAGTTTCTCAGACTTTCCTTATTTTTGATAACCTGGACAGTAGTGTTTTTTGTTTTGTTTTTTTTGAGTCTGAGTTTCACTCTGTTGCCCAGGCTGAAGTGCAGGGGCACACTTACCACTGCAGCAGCCTCAACCATGAGGCATGAGCCACCAAATCCAGCTAATTTTTTTTTTTATTATTGTAGAGACAAGGTCTTGCCAAGTTGCCCAGGCTGGTCTCAAACCCCTGGGCTCAGGCAATCCTCTCCTCTGCCTTCCAAAGTGCTGGGGTTACAGGCCTGAACCACCATGCCCGGCTTAAGTGTGTGCTTCTGACTGACTTTCCTGATGCATCTAGAACTTGTCATTTTTAAAAACATCAGCTTTAAATTTTTAAATGTACGTGTTTCTGTCATCACAGTCTTCAGCCTTTAAGTCACTTGCACAAGAACTTGAGAAGGAATAGGATTGCTCTTTGTTATTTCTTTCAAGACATTGACTGTTCCACCTTTGCTGTGACCATTAGTTTGTATATCCATCTTTATCCAACTTAGTTTTCTATACTTCATTACCATCACTCCCTTTTAGCTACCTCCAGTCACTTTTTCTTTCACATCAGTCTTAGCTAGCAGCAGCCTTGGATAAATGCAATCATTGGTCTCCATGGCAGCACCCCCACAGGTGAGAACTGGAGAAACTCTTGTAAACAAGCCAAGTGGTGTGAAGACATCACAAACGAGTAATTTCAGGACTGTGTTTTGTGTACTCAGACATGTTTTTCTTCTTTTTAAAAAAAGTGTGTTTTGAATGATGACATATTACATTTTTTTTTTAAATAAAGATTTTTTGGCTTCCCTCAAAAAGTAAGTTGTGACAACATAGGGTTGGCAGGCTCACTGGCGGCAATCCAGTGACTGTCCCTTTAGGTGTACCATGTCTTCTTGAGTTCCTTCCAGCCACTCTGCTTAGTTCATTAACTTGCCTGATGCCATCAGCATTTGGGTTTTTAGCCCCTGCCATAGATTCACAATCAACCACTATGGAATGGGTAGTCAGTAGTGTTTAGCGTCCCCCGCTGCAGTGACAGAGTTAGTTTGCTTATCTACTGCTGACTGAAGAAAAAAATCAAGCTTTCAGATAAGTAAAGTTAGTTTTATTAAGAATTCTGCCGGGCTCGGTAGCTCAGCCTGTAATCCCGCGCCTTTGGGAGGCCGAGGTGAGTGAATTGCCTGAGTCTGTGGGTTCAAGACCCGCCTGGGCAAGTTGACGAGACCTCATCTCTACAATAAATAAAAAAAATTAACCGGGCGTGGTAGCGCGTGCCTGTAGTTACAGCTACTTGGAAGGCTGAGGTGGAAGGATCGCTGGAGCCCAGCAGGT